AACCTTGAAGTCCTGAACTTAGAGTTCCAAGTTCAAAAGTTAAGGACATGTAGTCCTGAACTTAGAGTTTCAAGTTCAAAAGTTAAGGACATGTCCTGAAGTCCTGAAGTTAAGGACATGAGCAGAAGGGTATTTTTGTCCGAGCAGTTAAAGTTTATTAAACCAGTGGCTAAAGACTAAAGACATTTAAAACGCTGGCTTTATAATAAAGACATAAGCTGTTAGTGGCTATCTGTGCACATCGGAAGAACACTTTCCTTCAACATTAGTTCCCTTTTTCTGAATTACTTAAAGAAAATTTAAATTTAAATTAAAAATAAAAATTTATTCAAGTATATTTAGCATAAAGCCAAGCACGTAATATATATATATATANATATATATATATATATATATATATATATATATTCTTATTTCAGTCCAATTAATCAAATATCTATAATAAAGTATATATAAGTTGTCTTTTCATTATTTAGTCTCTGGAATATAATCTCGATATTATAATAATTGTCGTATAACGTTTCACAAAGAAAACTACCCCATACAACGTAGTATAAAATTAATATTATAATTGTGGTATATTAAAAAAATCTAAATTTTCTAATTTGAAAATAAAATTCTACTGTCTGTTAAGTAGTTATACATTTATCTCGAAATCACAATCTCTTAACCGTGTAATCAAATGAACCCTAATGCTTAAATCATATTTATAGATAGTTGTAAATTACTAACAGTCTTAATTACATGAGCGCATAGTTGAATAATATTACTGTTGCTAATTCAAGGACAATTCAACTACCTACATGAACTAATATTTGTTGTTTTAAAATTGTAAACTACAAGCTTAAGGTAAGTTGGATAAGCATTGTCCAAAACAGTTAAATTAATCCGTATACCTTTTGCTAGTCAACAAACAATTAGTTTACTTAACATATTTAGACAGTCTTGAGTATCACTTTATAGGAATGAATAATGTAGATATCCTTAATTGCTAAGAGTAGAATCACTTATGGAATAGTATTACGTTTACGTATCGTTACTTGGATCATGCCAAAAGAAAGAGGGATATGTTGGACTTTAAAGTAGAAGAAGTGTGAATTAGAAATGGAGGGAAATAAAATGGAGGGAAATTGAAAATTTGAAGAAGTGAACTTTTGTCTTGCACTTTGTCCCTCATTGGTGAGGGACAACCACATTTGTGTGCTTATATATAGAATCACTTCTTAAAGCTCTTAAAAGGAGTTGAAGAGAATGAACCCTCGCGCCGTCGTCGTCGCTCGCTCGGCTTCGGATTCGGATTTGTCAAATGATCGATAAGATTATTTTTGGACAAAATTTATTTAATTATTTAATAATTCGAATTTGGATTTGAATTTTGGATTTGTCAAATGATCGATCGATAAGATTATTTTTGGACAAAATTTATTTAATAATTAATTAAATACCAAATCACTGCTGAAAATACGCCAGAACCCTGCTGAAGGTTCAGAGGGCTTCTCTGGCCCGCGGCAGGCAGATTCAGAAAGCCTCTCTGACCGCGGTTCTATCGCGGTGGGCAGGCAGATTCAGAAAGCCTCTCTGACCGCGGTTCTGCCGCGACCGCGGTAGAACCGTGGCAGACAGCGTATTCTTCTGATAAGTCACCTTTTCTAGACACCTCTTCTGATAATTGCCTATAAATTCTGAGGCAAGGTTCCATTCTCTACGCACGAAAAATACTCCAGAACTTTTTTCTTTCTGAATATACTGCATTCTAATTCGCAGTCTCTCTCTCTCAAATTCGTAAGTGTGATTTTGCTCCGTTCTTTAAGTTCGTTGGTACCTGCAGTTTGTATTGCCACTGTTGCAGGAAGGTTTATTCCGTTTTATCCTGGGAGAATTTAATCCATTACCTTGGCAACATGTGAGGGGGTTAAAATTCCTTAAGGACACACAAGCAAATTGTGGACTCGGAATAGTTCTTAAACTCTTCTGTTTTTCCAGTTTCTTTTATTTTTCTAACAGTTTTTTTTTTGAATTTGTGTTTTAACACAGTAGGGCTCACAGGATAGCCTTAACATACCCGAAATAGGGAAAAATCCGTGTGATATTCTTAAGAAAGATTGCACTGTACTCCCTTATAATTGCAAAATCTCACGTTGCTTTGAATTGTTGTTCTTGCGTTGCTTATATGAGCCTTCTTATGTTCTTGTGAGCGAGCACCATATTTAAGTTTAACAAGCGTAAAGTTGGAATTACTCCTAAAAACAGTACTACCACCAATATCCAGAGATTCACCTGAAAATTTATCAGGAAGAACCATGTCATTCAAAGGTGACAACAAGCGTTACCTAACTAATGAACTTGTAGTCTCAGTCATTTAGTCAATGTCCCGAACCACAGTAGATGAGTGAACGCCATCAGATGGATTTGTTTCGAATAAATTAACAGCGCTTTTCATTGCAATTTTTGATTCAAACCCGACAATCCTTGACGCAGGACTCTGGGTAGTAGTCCTCGCACCATTATGGGTTAAGAAGCCATGCTTTTCTGCAGAGTCAATCCTCAATTTTGCATGTTTGTCATACCATTTTTTGTTAGGACTACATAATAGGACTATTCCTTGTTCTTTCTTTAACTTAAAAGGTTGTATACCAATACATGCAAAGCTGGTGAGATTCTTTGGTTCATAGGATATGAAAGAGAAATTGTGGATATGTGCGTCCACATATTTTAAGCAAGACATAAAATGTATATTCAATGCTTAGTAAGCATAATTGTCCCCAAAATATGACACCACATAATCTTTCCCACAAATTAGTCATACCTTTCTTTAATTGCCATGGTCCCACGTAGACAAAGCAATTCTTACACTTTTCCAATTAATCCCCACAATTAATCAATTATTCACATAATAAAAAATTATTTTAAATTAATTAAAATACTACTATCAAAATATTAAAATACTAATTATTTATGGTACCCTATAAAATTAATATCCCTCGGATTCTTCCCTCCAGATATTAATTTTATTAAAATATCCATGTAAAAAAGATACACATATTTTTTCAACTTTCAATTTTCCTAATTAATCTCATATAAAGAGTACAAATTTCCGTACACTAAATTCTTAAAATGAAAAAAGAGATAACCTTCTTTTCTTGTGAAAAAAAAATAATTCATATATTTACAATAAAGAAAATCTCATAACTTTTCTCATATTATGTGTATAATTTAAAGCATATTCGGAAGTAGTAATATTAATAACTATATAAAATTATATTTTTCAAACCTTTTTTTTTCTTTACAAAAAAGTTCAACTCAAAATACCAATATATTATAATATATATATATATATATATATATATGTATGTATATATATATATATATATATATGTATGTATGTATGTATGTATATCAAGGTTGTTAAACTTACGGGGTGTAACACAAGAGCTCTGGTTTATGAAGGATGTTCCGCAAACGGAAAGTAGTCACCACAACTATCGGGTGACACTGGAAGTAGGGCCTCAGCTTTCGAGCGACAACTACGAGAGCTAAGGCCAGTTTTTCCAAATGTGGGTAGCGAGTTTCTGCTACAGTTACAATTTTGCTAATATAATAAATGGGAGATTGCGTACCTTCGTCTTCTTGGACTAAAAATGCACTTGCCGCAACTTCTGAAACCACGAGGTAGACTAGCAATGTTTCTCCTTCTTTTGGTTTCGAGAGCAATAGAGGACTGGACAAGTACTTCTTCAAGTCCTTCAAGGCTTGATGACACTCTGCTGACCATTCAAAATTATTTTTCTTTTTGAGCAATGCGAAGAAGCGATGACATTTTTCTGATGATCGGTAAATGAACCAGCTCAAAGCTGCTAATCTCCCTGTGAGCCTCTGGACTTCTTTTACATTCGACAATTGATCCGGGATATCCTCTATAGCCTTGATCTTGTCGGGGTTTACCTTAATTCCCCTTTGTGAGACAAGGAATCCCAAAAACTTACCAGAACTGACCCCGAACGCGCACTTCTCGGGGTTAAGTTTCATGTTATGCTTCCTCCGAATGTCGAACGTTTCTTGCAAGTGCTTAAGGTGGTCACCTACATTCAAAGACTTAACGAGCATATCGTCTATATATACTTCCATAGTCTTTCCTATTTTTTTTTGAACATTTTATTCACGAGCCGTTGATAAGTGGCTCCAGCGTTTTTCAACCCGAAGGGCATCACATTGTAACAATATATGCCAAATTTTGTTATAAACGAAGTTTTCTCTTGATCTTCTAGGTTCATCTTGATTTGGTTGTACCCAGAATAAGCATCGAGGAAACTTATTAACTCGTGTCCGGCCATGGCATCAATCATTTGATCGATATTTTGCTATGGGAACGAGTCTTTCGGGCACGCCTTATTAAGATTCTTATAGTCTACGTACATGTGAAATTTATTATTTTTCTCAGGAACCACTACTACATTAGCTAGCCAATCCGGATATCTTACCTCTCGGATTGAACCGATATTGAGTAAGCAGGTTACCTCTTCTTTGACGAATTTATTCCTGGCTTCAGTAATAGGGCGCTTCTTTTATCTTACCGGAGGCATGCCGGGATCCAATCTTAATTTGTGTACGGCTACCTCCGTTGGGATACCTGTCATATCCTCGTGCGACCATGCAAAACAATCGACATTAATTTTAAGAAATTCAATGAAATCAGATCTGAGATCCGGGTGCAGTCCTGTTCCCAAATGGAATTTCCTTTCTAGGAATTCTTTGAACAACGCAACTTGCTCTAGTTCTTCTGCCGTGGATTTTGTTGCATTTGTTCCTTATGGAACTTGAATATATCTTGGCACCTGATACTGTTTCGACTCTGCCGTCCCTGGGCTAACTTCCTCTAGTTTGGGGGTAGGAGCCGATTTCTATAATTGTTATGTCGCGCGCTCCTTTTCCTTGCTACTAGAGACCGAAATCGCATTCTTCTCCCTTGCTGCAGATTGATCACCTCTATCTGCTTGATTCCCTCAGGTGTCGGAAATTTCAACAATTGGTGATACGTTGAGGGCACAACTTTTCATCTCGTGTAACCATGGCCTTCCTAGGATGATATAGTATCCCATGTCTCCGTCTACAACTTTGAAGAGAGTTGTTTTTATTACCCCTTCAGCGTTCATGAGCAGCAAAATTTCTTCCTGGGTTGTTACGCTCGCGACGTTGAATCCAGCAAGGAGCTTTGTTGTCGGAATAATGCTTCTAGTGAGTTTAGCTTGCTCCAGGATTCTCCATTGTATGATATTAGCTGAACTTCCTGGATCCACTAGAACACGTTTAATCTTAAAATCCAGCACATTTAAAGAAATTACCAGTGCATCATTGTGTGGTAGCAACAATCCATCTGCATCTTCCTCCGTGAAAGTGATATCGTCTTCCCGGAGGCTTTTACTATGAGTTATTGATACTTTCGTCTTCTTTGCTGTCGAAAAGGTGAACCTATTAATCTCATTCCCTCCGAAGATCATATTGATCATTTGGCGTGTGGGTTCATCTCCTGCTTTCGAGGGATCCGCGTTGTCTCTGTTACGACCATAGTTGTTCTTAGATCGATCACTTAATAATTCTCTGATGTGACCATTTTTCAACAGCATTGCCACCTCTTCCCGGAGGCGTCAGCAGTCCCCTATCGGTGGCCATTTGTCCTATGGTATCACACCATAAGTTAGGATCCCTCTGGCTGGAATCAGATCTCCTAGGTATCAGGAATCGTGCCTCTTTGATGTTTCTCATGGCTGATACCAACTCCACTATACTGACGTTGAAGTTATACTCCGATAACTTGGGGTATGAAGGATCCCTCAACCCTGATGTTTCTTTATCCTGCAACGATCTGTTGTTCCAGCCACGGTCGGTCCTTCTATCAACGGAGAACTTGTCCGTTGTCCGCATCATAATCATCTTTTGAATTTTCTCTGTTCTTCTCCCGTCCTTTGGTCGATAATGGAAAACCAACCTAATCATCTTCGATCCTTATTTTTGACTCGTACCCGATTGTGGACGTCCGCCCAAGTCGTTGCTTGAAACTCAAATAGGCTTCTTCAATTTTCGGGAAGGGTCTGAACTTCTCGGATTCAATCCTTTAGTGAATTCTTCAGCTTCCCATTCATCCGGGACAGCCGAGAGCAACATTTTTTCCTTCTGGAATCGGGTAATGAACTCCCTTAATAATTCGGATTCTCCTTACGAAATCCTGAATATATCAGCCTTCCGGGCTTGCACTTTTCTGGCCCTCGGCATGGGCCTTGATGACAGAATCCGCGAGCATCTCAAAAGAATCTATGGAGTGCTCGGGTAATAATGAATACCACGTCAAAGCTCCCCTTGTAAGAGTTTCTCCAAATTTCTTTAACAATATAGATTCAATTTCGTGGGGAGCTAGATCATTTTCTTTTACAACCATTGTATAGGTGGTAATATGATCTTGCGAGTCTGAAGTTCCGTTATACTTTGGCACTTCGGGCATTTTAAACCGCTTTAGGATTAATTCTGGAGCAGCGCTAGGGTTGTACTGCAATTGGGTATACTTCTCCGAGTTCGAGCCTTTCAATACTGGTGGAGCGCCGGGGATTTGGTCCATGCAGGAGTTTACTTCCCTCATAAACCGTAAAGTTCATTCTTGAAAGGATCGTTCTCGTTATTGAGACCAGATCCGCTCCCCCCAGCTCTGTCGGAGCCAATTTCACCTATGTGGGTGTTGATGTCGACTCTCTGCGTTGTTTGGTTTACGTGGACATCGGGAGGAATTGGATCTCGCCTGTTTGTATTAGTCGAAGCCCCCGATAGCGCCTGCTTCAACTCCGTCATAACCATATCCTGTCGCGTGAGATGGCCTAGAATAATCACTTGTTGCTCTTGCAAGACCCTTACCGCATCGACGATATGCTCTTCATTAGCATTATCGGAAGTTGTCTCCCGAACATGTCGAGGATATTGCCTGCCATGCACCTGCGTGGTATCATTCCCCTCGTTGTGAGTGTCACTGATTGAATCCTCGAAACGAGGTTGATCCCCTCGAATTTCAGGATTATACGTGTTGTTAACAATGTTATCTGCCGTTTTTTGTGATTTTTTCTAAGAAAAAACAATTAAAGTATGTTAGTAAAAAAGGCAAGGATTAATTTAATTGCACGACTGTCTAGGCCCCACGGTGGGTGCCAAACTGTTTACCCCTAAAATGGTACAGTTAAATTTATACGTAGTTTCTAGACAAGTGAATTAATTTGATCCTGAAAATAATGAAATAACTGAAGAAATATATAATACTTAGCCAAATGTAGATGAAATAGCAAAATTGGTGAATCCGGGAACAAGATTTTTGGGCACGGCAATGATGAGGTCAAAAGCAAGAAAGTAAAATTGTATTAAGTTATGTATTGAATGTAGTATAAGTTAGCCAGGAAAATCATGTCCTCTACGATGATAACTTAGCTCTCTATTTATAACTGTGTCTATAGAAAAAGGTCCTAAGATCGTGCCCTCCTTTAATGTCAAGTATGAGGGTCATTAATGAAGGTGTAACGGTAGAAATAAATGCCAAATTCCCTGTAACGGGCTGCAGTTCTTAATGCTGCAGAATATTCCTTATTAAATGCTACCGGACGCAAAGCATTTAATAAACCTTTATGAACATTCTCTTCCGATGACAAGCGGAATAGCTGCGTTTGGTGACCATCTCTGTTTTGGATTCCACGTATCCTTCCTTTAAACGACCACGTGTCATATCATATTTTTCCCTATACAAACTTCCAACAACTGAGTCCACATATGTGCAAATGGAAAAACGGAAGACGAAGCAAAAAGAGGAGAAACTTGAGAAATCATCAAAGATTTGCACAAACAAAACAGAAGAAACCGATGAGAATAATTTGACTGAGTAATAGCCTGTTTGGCCAAGCTTCTTTTTGGCCAAAAGTGCTTTTTTTTTTGCCAAATGCACTTTTGGCCAAAAATTGAGGTGTTTGGCCAAGCTTTTGGAAGGAAAAAAAGTGCTTTTGAGGAGAAGCAGAAGCAGTTTTGGAGAAGCAGAAAAAAGTAGCTTCTCTCCAAAAGCACTTTTTTGAGAAGCAATTTTGAGAAAAATACACTTAGAAGCAGTTATTTTTAAAACTTGGTCAAACACTAATTGCTGCTCAGAAGTGCTTTTCAAACTAATTAGTCAAACACAAACTGCTTCTCACCAAAAGTGCTTTAAAGTACTTTTGAGAAAAGCACTTTTAAAAAAAAAACACTTCTCAAAATAAACTGATTTTTGCAGCTTGATCAAACGGGCTATAAGTTCATGAGCCATCCAAAATTTTGCTAGCTAAAGACGTGTCAAACCTAGAAGAAAGCGGGCACGCGTCAAACTATAACGTTAAGTATTTTGCTTAAATTACAATAAAACCCTTCTGATCCGTTTTCTAATCGGATACTGCTGCTTCTTTTTTTTTTTTGGTCCCAGCAAAACAGACCGGGTCCGACCACACCCCCAATAAAACAAACGGTATCCAACCGCCTTTTGTGTCCCCAATATATATCACTTGCCCACTCAAATTCGGATTGCGGGAAAGTAATTTGTAGGGCTTTCTACAGCTTCGTCTATATAATCGATTTTCCTCTGTGTTTCAACTAGCGATTCCCACTTACTGAAACAATTATGGCTACTGCATCAGGTACGGGTTTATTCTGATCACTTGATCATCATTAACTCGTAATTTTTGATTCATGCGTCATTAATCTCTATAAATTTATGAGAATTTCAGTGGCATTTAGATCAAGGGAGGATCATAGGAAACAGTTGGAATTAGAAGAAGCGAGAAAGGCTGGCCTTGCTCCTGCTGAGGTGGACGAAGATGGAAAAGAGATCAATCCTCATATTCCTCAGTATATGTCTTCTGCTCCTTGGTATCTCTATGCTGGTAGACCTGTACGTACATCTTCTCTTCCTTTGTTTAAGCGACGTAAAATTTTGTTGATTTTTAATTTTTTGACCTTTTTAATTGTTTTCGGTGGTCACAGAGTTTAAAACATCAAAAGAAGCAGGAACCGGATTTGAAAAAGAGGAGTGAATGGTATAATAGAGGCGCGAAGACATATCAGGCTGACAAGTATCGGAAGGGTGCATGTGAAAAGTAAGTGTGATGCCATATGCTTAATTTCTGTTGTCATTTGTTGACACTTAATTGCCCCTGTCGCTTGTATTGTAGTTTAAAAGAAATCTAACTACTATAAAGAAACTTTACTTTGGAAGTTTAAATATTGAACCCCTTATGCTTGCTGCCTTCCTTGCATGATGGATGGCTAAATTTAGTATTAATTATTTTGTAATCTTTGTGATAGGGAGTTCGTCTAAATTTAGGTGTTTCTTTCTCCTGATTCCAATTCTAGAAGTTGCAAAGGGAAATAATTGTTTGGCCTTAAGGAACATAAACAATTGTATGATAGTTTTGGATTCAAGAAACAAGAACAATAGCACTTATTCTTCATTGTTTCAAATTTGTGCCATGCAGAAGACAATGGGTAATGCCCTGCCTTGGCAAACGTGTACTAGTTAGGTTAGAATAATGGAAAGCTTTAAACTCTGCAACCAAAGAAAAAATTGAGCTGAAATTGTGATTGCGTGGTGATTAATGTGGAGCATTTTAGGAAAATAAGTTGCTTTTGTAAATTGGAAATAAAATTAATATTGATTAGTGGGGAAACATGTAAATTTCATGTGATGTATGTTAAAGAGGAGTTATTTATTTTGGGAAAGCAGATATGGTTTTCGACAAGGTTTGGGAAAGCATGCAATGTGGGGCAAAATGTCCATTTCATTAGGTTATCCAAACAATCCGGGAAGATAAATCTCCATTTGTCTTTTGTGCAGTTGTGGAGCAATGACCCATGATGTTAAGTCATGCATGGAAAGGCCACGTGAAGTGGGAGCAAGATGGACAGGAAAACATATTGCTCCTGATGAGAAGGTAGAGCAGTTTGAGCTGGATTATGATGGTAAAAGGGATCGCTCGAATGGGTATGATGCTGCTTCTCATTTCCTTGTAATTGAACAATATGAAGCAAGGGATGATGCAAGAAGCAAATACCTCAAGGAGCAACAACTTAAAAAATTGGAAGAGAACAATAATAAAGAAAATAGAGAAGGAGGTGATAGTGACAATAATGATTACGAGGATGCTTTGAATGTAGATGAAGCAAAGGTTGATGAAAGTAAGCAGATGGATTTTGCAAAAGTCGAGAAGCGTGTACGAACCACTGGTGGTGGTAGCACAGGAACTGTTAGGTGAGTTTTTCTTAATATATTTTTTGTGGGTCATTGTGGGAGTTAGATTGTGAGCACTTTTTGAATGTTGTGGTTGAATATTACGCTCTACTGATGCATCTGTCCTGACCAGGAACCTTCGTATTCGGGAGGATAGAGCTAAATATCTTTGGAACCTTGATGTGAATTCCGCACACTATGATCCCAAAACACGATCCATGCGTG